GTCTCGGGTTAGGTGGTCTTGAACACAACACTGAGTCCGAACATAGTCAATGGGGATTTTATACGGTGTGTAAAGTACAGCACAATCCTTAGATTTACCTTGATTGATTGATTACAAACTGTGATCATAAGTGAAAGCACATGATTTCAAAGCAGTGGTTTGAACTTCTCAATAAAAATGTCAGTTACTAAGGTGACATTAAGTTAATTATTTATTGCCAGCTATTATTTTGACCTGGGTAGCTTTTGTAAAATCATTTGGTTTCTGTGTGCAAAGTACATCCAAAATATAAACCAGGATTTTTGTAGAAGCGCCTCTGGCCCCGAAGGAGCTGGCCCAAGTGGCTGGGAAGAGAGAAATCTGGCCTCCCTACTGCAACCAGACCCCAGATAAGTGGAAAAAGATGGATCTGTTTAACACTGTTTGAGAATTTTTTGAAAAACCTCAAAATTCATTCATTTTTACCTCAACTGTACATACAGATATACAATCTCCGATAACCAATTGCATGGTTGAAATCAGGCAGATGATTTCAAGACCACTTGCTGAAGTTCAAAGTGAGCATATGAATGAAGAAAATGGATTTAGTTGACATTCAACATGGAGTGGTCATTGGTTCCAGATCTGAGGACTTCATAACCTGCTGATCTGCTTCAGCAGATTTTCACCAACAACTATCTTTCATATTTATCTGTTAACAGATAATGGTCTGGTAAACAGAAAATATGCAGTAACCAGTAGCTGTACAGATAAATATACCTTGTCAAAGATCAAATAAGAATGGGTGACTGTTTTTAGATTATGGAGGGCCAACAATGGCTCTGAGAACCACTGCCAGAGCACCAACTGTAAACCCACAACATGTAAAACCTTGAAATAGATGATCGACAGCAGTAGAGCACCAACCCAGCTGCCATCGTCAGCTAACACAAACCTGATGCTACTATTCACAAAGACTAGTCATGTTAGTCTGGAGTTCAGCAGCAACATTCGGATGACAGGGTCAGAACCTTGTGCTATGTAAAATCAACTTTTTTGAGCTTTACATCATGTTACAATGTTATTTCCTCATCAGAAATATATCTGGAATGTTGCCTTGATTCTTTCATGCATGTTTAAGAAATCTTCTAATTTATATGGCAACCATTCAGCTGTGCAAAATGGTTGGGTGGACCTAGCGCCTCTATAAGTGAAGAAGCTTTTCCTGGAATCTGCAATTTCCAAGCTTCTGAGCTTCCGCCTCACAGAGGCACGCTCTCCCCGTGACCCCCCCACTCAAGTCCTTCAGACTAGCCAGAAGCAACTAGCAAACACCTGGTGGAACTGTACATCTCAATATAGGAGCCAGGGGCGCTACCCGAAATCTTGGGCCTCATGACAAAAAATTTGTTTGGGCCCCCCTGCACAGCTGCTGTTACAATTTTCTGAGTCTATTTGACCCATAAAAAGCATCACAATTTTAAAGGCTTGCATCGGCCTTGCCTTCTTTGGTTCAATACTGATAATTAGCACAATATTTACTGCTCATGAATTTAACATCCAACAGTCCACATCCAGTATACAAGTAGGTTGCTTAAATTTTTTTTCTATTAGTTTTAGATACTGAAATGTCTCTCCCCATGAGCAACAGTCAAAAGCAACGTGCAACTACACATAAAGCAATCCAGACTTCTCAAAAATGCTAGTAGTTGCATTTTATTCAAGCTTTAATAAAAATGTTTTCTCCATAGTTGTTAAAGCTGTTACAATGTCATAGCAGTTTGTTATGAGACAGATAATCTGTGAAAACAATCAATCTTCTCCATCTCCTTCCTGAATTACTATTGCTAGCTAAAGTAATGCACCGTTCTGACCAAAAACCAATCAGAACTAGTAGGACGCTCTTAGCACTGTCAATCATCTTCATTTACTCACTGCTAAATGTGCTAATGGGGAGAAACAACTTATCATTTACAAGAAACCGTTTATCTGCCGTCATTGGTAGCTATGCTAACTAAACTGAGCATTCACAGTTTGAATCTGCACAGCTCTGTGCTATGCTAGCTGCAGCATGGCACAAGTCGAAGGGGAGGAAGGAAGAGCAGCACCACATGAGATTGTGATTGACAGCACTAAAACTCTCCTGCCACTGACTGGTTGTTTCTAGCACTGGGAGAAAGCAGAGGAAATAGATTTTTCACAGATTACCTCTCATACCATACTGTAACAACATAATGACAGTTTTTAAAAAATGAGAAAAAAATATGTAAAAGTTACATACTGAAGCTTTAATTTCACTCAGGAGAGGACAGGTTAGGAGGGACGTGGTAAAAGGTACAAGGGACAAGTTAAATATATGAATATGTTGGTAATTTTTTTTCCTTAATTCATTAAATACTAGTGAAATGGAGGCAACCATTTAGCTAATTATGCTAAATGGTTGATAATCTAACACAGTCTACCTACCTCTCTTGGAGAAAAACTGGGTTACAAATTAACACTCTGGCCTTTCTCTCTCTTTTTTGTTTTTGAAAACCTGATTTTATAACTTTTCTTAGCAGCATAGAAACTGCCACAGTCGCCACTGTATTCAGCTGCAGCTTCTACTGACTGTAGCTGCATATGTCACAGTCAAGCGCTCCAAGCAGGAATGAACCATTTCATGCAGATCCACAGGGGTTCAGGGCAAAAACGGATGTTTTTGGTCTGGGAGGGGCAACATAAAATTTTTACTGCTAAAAACAATCTTTGAAAATACAATATGATTCATTTTGTATTTGACAGGACCCTGATTTTTTTTATTTTATGTCTATGAACAAAATAAAATAGATTCTAGGGGCCATGACCAGCAGGGGGCCCTCCACAATTCAATTATTTATATGTCTATGAACAAAATATAAATAATTAAATTGTGGAGGGCCCCCTGCTGGTCATGGCCCCTAGAATCATCAACACTTTTCACCCCTACACCGCGCCCCTGATAGGAGCTACTTCTTAGAGCAGCGCTGGTAAAAATGTTGTTAAAGGTTAAATAGAGAAGCAATGTTGTGATGATTTCCTGAACCCGGAGTGCTGGAAAGAGGAGGAGCTGCTTAAAGAGACAGAGACCCAATTTTAAGATGTCAAATTTCTTTTAAGTCATATTTGTTACTGAAGGTAACAGCGTTACTTGATTGTGCTACGAAATGATTTTCTATGTGGTTGGAAAACACATAAGACTGCCCCTTTAAACAAGACAAAAACCTAGATCCTGTCTTGTATCAATGACTGGTGGTTGTGGTTTCATAGTTTGAGTGATATTTGTTGGCATTTTTGGGCAAGCTTCCCAACTTTATTCAGCAACTAGGATTGTTTTCTTAGTCTCCCTTAGCCATTGTCTTTCCACAGCAGGGTAAAAACAAATGGCATGGGTAAAACATAAGCTCAGTTAGAGGCCATGGCAGCAAGGTAATAGGTTTTTATTTACTCCTGTGAATTACTATGAAAGTAGTATTGTGGAGAGAGTACTGAGAATTTAAATCTTGTTCAAAATTTTCAGCAATATAATTCAACCAGGTCAGCTATAGGTTAAAATTGTATAGTTCAAAGATTGTTGATCATCTACAAGATATTCAATCATCACAAAGAGGGAGGACATCCTGCAATTGAACTAATATTTTAACTGTGGCCACATTCGAACTTCTACGAAAATAGAAGCTCTACCTTCAATCAGACAGAGCTACAGCTGTTTTACAAAGAAGATTGGGCAATAATGTCAGTCTCTTTGTTTGAGATTTGTCTCTACCAGCTGATCAAAGCTAGTAGAGACAAATGGCAAATAGCCTGTACTTGTAGAGCACTTTCATAAAGTCCAAAGGTGCCCAAAACGCTTCACACTACATCCAGTCATTCAACCATTCACACACTGGTAGTGGTAAGCTCCTGGATAGTAGCCACAGTTGCTCTGGGGCACACTGACAAGAAACAATGCTGCCATGCACCAGCGCCACCTGTTGGGCCCTCTGACCACACACCTGCATGTTGGTGGAACATGGTTCTATAAAGTTGTCACTTGGAGCCTGAAAACACTGACAATTTTTTTATAAAAAATTTGAAAACCATGTATCATACACCTTTTACTTTACACATGAAGAAAGGGAGGCACTACTTAGTGTTCGTCTGTCACATAAAATGCTAATAAAATACATTGAAACTTGTGGTTATAACATCACAAAATGGGAAACAGTTTAATGGGAGTGAATGCTTGATGTTAACTCCAGAAACATCTACATATAATTTATCCTCTCCTCATAACCAATCAAACTTTTCTTAGTGCATCAATGTTTAAAACAAGGACAGATCAAGAAGAAATAATTACAATAATAAAAAAAAGAACAGCAGTACTGCATTTTACTTGACAGACAGTACCTAGACCACTTGTAGCTGGCTGTTAGTCTTTGTTAGAGCAGAAAATGTGCCCTCATTTTCACTTCAGAGGAAAATCAAGTAAAAAAACAAAACAAAAAAACTACTTCTGGCAAGATTATTTTTATTCAAAATCACTGGTTGGTAAGCTACCTGCTGGGCTGAACAGTGACTGACAGGAGGAGGATGAGAGAGAATATGGGGGAGAGAAAAGAAACAGGGGAACACAGAGCAGGATGAAAGCAGAATAGAAAAAAGATATAAATGTGAAGTAATCTAGACTAAAAGCCAACTTGATGGAAAGATCAGGAAAAAGGGAAAGGAAGCCTCCAAGGTAAAGAAGCCAAGTATTTAATGTTTTATTTGCTTCCATGTTAGAGGTGAAATGATAAAGTCAGGATTTTCCACCTAGAAACCTTTAAGTCTCTATCCAGCTAAAGACAAGCAGCAGTAAATAATCTCAAGAGATTTGATCCATCTCACCAGGAATCTTTTTGGCCCAGCTGATCATGAGTACCAGCTCCTTGTCCGCCAGGTTGGTAAGAGACATCATCATGCTGGCCTGAGTGAAGGGCTTCTTCAGGTCCTCCATGAGGTAGATCTCAGGGGGCTCTGCCTCCATGATTCGGGAGACGAACTCCTCTGGGCTCATGAACGGCTGGTTACTTTGGCTCGGCTGAACCAGAGGGGGAAGGGACAATTCCATCGGGGGGAGGCGCTGAATCCGGGGAGCCATCCCAACCCTTACCAAACTCCTGCCTGTTGCATCTCGAAGGTGGAGTCCACTACGACGATGTCGGGCCCCTCGATAGCTGCAGCGTTCACGCCTCACACCTAAATAATGTAGTGGGGCAAAGGAAACCTACATTACCTGTAATGAATATTTACACTTTATGCCACATAATGACAAGTTTTGATGTTAGTTGATAAATAAGAGACAAAATATACAGAATCTGAGATTTAAAGGTTCACTGTTATGCAAAATTCACTTTTTGCATGTTTCTGTATTACCAAGTGATAGTACAGAAATTGTCCAAGGGCAAAAATGAAACAACCAACCATTTGTTTCACCAAGTAAATGCTCTGCTGGTGTCTGCAAAACTGTTTCAAAGACCTCTAAATTGTTGTGTCATCATTTTTTTAAAGAGAAACAAAAAGCCAAGTCCAAGCCCGCAACTTGCAACTTGGAGCTCCACCCACTTCACTACAAACTATCACTGTACAATGGCTGCTGGAAAAGTAAAGTGTTTTGATGTTGGCTTCTATAGAGCATGTGTCAGTGCATTTTCTCCTAGTGTTGAAGAACAGAGCTTCATTTTATTTTTGTTTGCAATGTCACTGCAATATTTTCAAAAGAAAATTATAGTTAGTAAAGATAAGCTAAAGAAAAATACTGTTGAAAACTACCAACAGTCCAGGCAGGATGGATTTACCAAAAAACGTAGACTGAAGGAAGGTGGCCCTACTGTTCAACACAAATCTGCTGATGATGACAATGCATGATTTGTCATTTAGCGCAAGCTAACGCTGAAAGATAGCTCTGCTAGAAGACTCGCATTACTTTAACCTACAATATCAGATCATTTACTGTAGCAGTACATGCAACAGTAAAATGGAAGTGATAGTCTACATTGAGCAGATGCAGTGTGCGTGAGACATGAAGGTCCGTGTATTTTCAGGAAGTTGGTTTTTTCATTTGAAATGAAAAATGAAAAAACGGAAGTAGACTCATTTTTTCGTTTATTAAACCAAAATCGGAAATCAGATAACAGCTCCAGCTTGTTATCCGTTTTTTCCAGTTTCGTTTTGTAAACTACATGGGAAATCGGATAATGAGACAAAATCCATGTATGGTTCGTTCTTTGGTTTTTTCGTTTCAACATAAAATTGCAAAAACAAAACAAGCATGTGTTTTTTTGTTTTTTCGTTTTTAAAACAAAATTAGAAAAACGGCAATTGCAAAAAGAAGAAAGAAAACGGCCTGTTAATTTCACTTGTCATTTCATTATTGACAAGCGATCTGACCCGGAAGTTCTCTCTGTCCGGCTTACACAGTGGCCGTATCACACATACACATTATGCTCTGCCCAGCACACTTTGTTTTTCTACACTCGTCCAAAGCAACATGTAATTAATTTGATCATGATACTTTCACACAGATAGCCTTTAACATGCTAAATGCTGTATTCCGTAAATATCTAAAGGGCTAGTCTGTCCAATTTTTTTTTTACCAACCTTTAATCTGCTCTGGTTTAAAAAGACGTTCAAACCGCGACTAGAACATTCTGCCAGTCATTCAAACCCTTTAAGTTTTTCCTTTCTGAATAACATTAGCATGCCAATTATAATCCGGTATGCCATGAACAAGCATGCAAAAAATGTTATCCAAAATATACAATATCTTGGATAAATATTGTATATTTATCCAACATAAATATACAATATATTGCATATATGGTATATAACAAAAAATTTTGTATACAATATACTAATAGATAGTATCTATTTCAGGCAAATACCTGGAAATAGATACCAGAAAAAATCTATTTCTGGCAGAAATAGATTTCTACCAGGTAGGAAATGTTTGAAATAATTTGCCAGATTATTAAAAGCTTACCTTAATAAATGTTTGCCTACAGAAGAGGATTTGGGAAAGAAGGTCGTCATTATGTCTTTAATCTCAGAATTCAGACTTTAATCTAAAAAAAACCCAACCATCTTGTACATCAGTTGGTGTTAGAAAAATGTTACAGGCCCCTTATCCTCTTCTGTGGTTTAACACCTCATATCTTTTCACATTTTTATAAGTGACATATTACTATCCAGTTAGAAATGAAAACCTTTGTCCTCTTAATGAGACTATTTATCCATCCATCCATCCATCCATTTTCTTCCGCTTATGCGGGTCGGGTCATGTGGGCAGCAGCTGGAAGGCCCAGACTTCCTCTCCTCAGCCTCTTCTTCCAGCTCCTCCAGGGGAACCCCAAGGCGTTCCCAGGTCAGTCGAGAGACATAGTCCCTCCATCGTGTCCTATTTATTAT